ATTAATTATTGGATTCGGATTTGAGAACTTTGTTTGAGCGGGTCCGGTCCGAGTTTGAATAAATTTTTATTATCGGGTCCGGGTCCGGGTCCAAAAATCATGGACCCGATGGGCTCTACCCTGGGCTCATATTTGACCTACAAAGGATTGAGCCAGTGATACGTACGATTTGTTTAGTCAGAATGTTGTAGAGTTTTTCAAGAGCTATTTTTTTATATCAAGCTTTACCGTAACTTTATATTAGATTTGAACAAACAAAATCGTTTTCGTTAAACGCCAATATGCTTTATGTACCTCCTCAGATGTGCCTCCTTTTAAAGTTATTTTAAAAGGTCTCCATAATGTTATAATGGTTGATATGCAGTCCAAAATGTGTAAAATCGTTTTCTCTATAACATGTGATCATAACGAAGTCGAAAAAGCAGTGAGCCAAATGCAGTGGAAAAGCGGGACCCCCCTTAAGCGCTTGACCTGATAATTCGTGACTTAAAAATTTAATAGAACCAACTGTTCTTCCAATTGAAGTTAATATATTGCCTGTACGTGATTCCCAGTTAAGATCAGATGTCAAAGTTAGTCATAAATGTATATACTCGTCTACGTAGTCTAAAGAGATATTATTATTGTTAAAGAAGATAAATTAGTATGTGTAATTCGTAAGAATAACATTCCTAGACACCTGTTAATGTTTAATGGTAGAATCCAATTAGTTGACCACTTATGTATTAAAGCTAGATCTTTATTCATTTCCACCACTGCTGCACGTCCTTAGCACCTACATAGATGGAAACATCGTCAGCAAACAGGAAGCATAAATTGGATAGTGAGTCTGGAAGGTTATTTAGATATGTTAAAAATAACAGAGGGTTGAGCATGCTGCCTTGTGGCACAGCGAATATCTAACGCTGATGATGTACTACCATCCACTACTGTCACAATTCTACGATCTGCTAAATAACTTTCAAACCATTTAAGCAGAGAGTGTCCCAGCTTCCAAGAGATAGGAAATTTTCCAGTGTCAAGTCATTTAACTCCGACGTTTCGAAAATTTATATTTACATTTTCAAGGAGTGTACAAATAGAATATTATGAACGCACAACAAAATATTATATCTGTTCAGAGGTAGAAATTTTAGAATTGATAAGATAGTAACAGCAGGTGTTTGTAGAAACAGCTTCTAAAAACAGCTGCTGTTACTATCTTATCAATTGTACAACAAAATGATTTTCATTGCTATATTTATTCCTATGTATACATACAGGAATGAAAAATCATTTTGTTAATACTATTCTACTTGCACACTCCTTCAAAACGAAAATATAAATTTTCGGGACGTCGGAATAAATAAATATTAAGCAACATCGTATAGTTACATATCTCGCTTTAAGCGAATGATCTAGTCTACCGAGTGATGTGTTACTTACGTTGAAACTATCGATATTAAAAAATAAAATAAAAAAACGTATGATAGTCAATTATCCTGTTGTAGAGAATCGTATGAATGAAATACATCATTGTGGATTTCGAGTGTTCGTACCTGTCTACCTTCTACTAGGATCTCAGTCTCAAAAATCCCAGGTACAATCAGTCTTAGTTGGATTCTACCGGATTACTCATTTTATCTGCTATTCTGAATGGATTTGTCCAGCTTTAATTCCCAATGATTCAAGCCATTCATTATAAACTTTCCCATGAGTTTTTGAAACATGACGTTTAAAATTTGAATACACCTTTTTTTAATCACAAATTAGCTTTTCTGTAATAGTTGGATCATCTCAACAGATTGTACATATAGCATGCCGTGAATCATTATTATGGTTGCATTACAAATCAACGAAACTATTTTCAAATGCTTTTTTATTTGAGATTAACGATGGCACACTAACTTCACTTTAGCGTTACAATGGTGAGCACTGTTCGCTACGCCCGGTTGTACGAAATGGACGTAAAAAAATAAAAAACATATGCGCACGTGCAAAAAAAGGTACAGTCCTAGCTTTTGAATGCTAAATTGCTCGTTCCTATACGCATGTAAAAAATCATTGTAGTAAAAAGAATAAGAAAGATAGTTTTCATTTTTTTGTATAGTTAGTTTATGTTTGAAAATGAAATGTCACTAATAAAATAAAGGATGAAGTTTAAAACAGCTGCATTAACCACTATGCTATCAGAATTTTAAACATTTTCCACAGGAAAATCGACTACGTGGACTTGATCTGCAAGGTCGAAATTGTTACCACAAGTAGTACAGACGAATACAGTATCCAATGTGTTGAATTTCATGGATAGCTCGCAAATGAGAAGAGTCACAGGGCAATCAAAGGCAGCAGTATGACACAACGTGTTCACATTTTGTTTATGTAGTTACCTAAGATGTATTACTGACGCTTATAGCTTAGCTGTATAAAGATGCATTTTTATTATATACACAGATATAAAAAGTAGGTACAGTTCTAGTTTTTGAATGGTTGAATTGTTCATTTGTATCGACATGTAAAAGGTTATTGTAGTACAGTAAAACTTCTGAATTATTATTATGAGTCTTCTATGCCTTCTATCGTCCTGTAGCTCTTCTCACTTGTGAGCATGTACGATATTGAAAAATCGTTAGTATGGCCTTGTTTCATAGTTTGCATACATTTATTTTCGGCCGTTTTCTTAATCCGTTATTTCTTACAGCCTTGCATAGCCAGCCGTGCATATCATTATTGCTTTTCTTTTGGCCATACACAGGTATCCATTTAACACGAAACGATGGTTACTTTGCTTAAAGCTGTTCGAGAAGACACCCAAGGTTCAAGACACTCACTTGGTTGTTCGAAGGTTTGTCTTGTTTATTTTTCAAAACGTGTGACCGACCTAACATCGCATTCAGACAACGGAAAACCACGCTCGGACACAAGCTTCGAGAACATTCCAGCGAACGACACTTTCGTTGTCTAGCTATACTTCAATAAAAACAACGACCTAACAATTAGACCCTGCTGTCATTGCCGAACTATCAAAAAACCATATCTGAAAACAGACAAAACTGTCTAAATATTAAGGCCTCTTATTAGCATTCAACATCTAATACTACTATGCATTCAAAACACGGTACTAGTGGTTGTTTTTCGAATTTCTCCGTACAGAGAGCAAATAGCGACCTGCCGTTTTCAGTTTTGAAAACTAGACATCTGACTACATATTTCTGTAAGCAAAAGCGAATTTTGAAAAAACTTTGGAAGCGAGTTTTTTAGAGGATCTTTGGATAACTAGCTTGGGTATTCCGAAACTCACTTAGGGATGTATTGATTTTTTCTTATGGGCTAATAGCCCGGGTGTGCTCTTCAGAATGGGAGTAAAGCGAGACCTTGATTTTCTGCGATTCGGGCGTTGTATCGGATTTTCGACGAGTCCCGTGACCGGCAGCTGGTGACTCTTGGTAGCCTTAATTTCGTTTTACGAAAATTAGGGTTTTCAGGCTGTTTTCACCTAATATTAAAAGATTCAATATTCAGTCAAAAAACATCAGAACGAGTTCAAAACTTCAAAATGTAGAGTATTTAAGATATTCTATATCCTGTTTATAGGAGATCTCGTTTTCTGAAAAACCTATAAACCAAACTATGCTTTTAGATTTTTTCGTTATTATAATCACGTTTAGCGGACAACGTTAATCTTATCCTGAGATTTTGAGCTTGTTCTGATGTTTTCTGACTGAATATTGAATTTTTTAATATTAGATGAAAGCAGCCTGAAGACTCTAATTTTCGTAAAAATGGCTTTTCGGCAAATTTTTAAAACCGCTTCAGAAGTTTTTTCGAAATTCGCTTTTGCTTACAGAAATATGTGGTCAGCGTTCTGAATAGCGAAAACTGAAAACTGCATGTCGCTATCTAATCTCTGTACAGAGAAATTCGAAAAACAACCACTAGCACCGTGTTTCTGAACGGATAGTACATTCTTTCTTAACAATAAGTACAAGTATCCCTAAGTATATTAGTATAGAACATCACACTCAGAACCATTTCTATTGGTTATCTATCGAAAAACTAATCCGAGCAAAAGCCAGTGCGCTCATTAATCTGAGTAAAAAGACTTTTATTGACTGCTGAAACCGTACCGCGTATTTTGATATTAGTCTTGTGTCTATACTAGAGATGAGACGGCATGCTAAACTTTCGTGTCCTTTCGTATGATACGCCATGTATATGTATATAAAATATATGTAAAAACAAATTCATGCTTTCAGAATCTGGAAAAAAAACCGATAGTCATGCTATTTTTAAGATCTTAGGAAACAGCCTGTTACAATGTTTGGCATTGCTAAAAACACGAACACCCACGAACACAAAGAAGAAAGGATAAGAAGACCCAGAAAAGTGCGTCAAATTCATCTCCAGGTTATTCTGGGCTCAGGGTGAGGTGTGGGGATGAGAGTGAGGTACCGGTAGCCTCACCCACATCTCACCCTCAGCGTAGAATAACCTGGAGATGAATTTGACGCACTTTTTTGGGTGTTCTTACCCTTTCTTCTTTGTGTTCGTGGGTGTTCGTGAGTGTTCATTCAAAATGTATGCTTGAAAAGCAACACTATAAAAGGTTTTTTGGGTGTTCGTTAGGGATTGCTATACTCAGCTCGACGCGGTCTATCGATTGGCTAACTCAGATTTTAATTTGGGGGTGTTCGTGGGTGTTCGCGTTTTTTAACAATACCCATGTTTATGCGGTGACAAAAAAAGCCATTTTAAAAGACTACGTTCTCTCTTTTCTGATCCATGGTGATTATAGTCTACCTTAATTAACTTTCGTATTGGAAAAACCGCTTAGCCTCATTTTAAAAGGGATAAACACCAGCATACCTCTTCTTCTCTGAATTCATGCAGCACTTCAAATTTGGAACATGTATTACTCATTTCTATCTTAACTGCTGATTATATAAATATTTGTATTACAGATCGTTTCTTACTTCTTCTATATTATTTTTCTTAATATATACTAGATACTTGTAATCGACATGTCTGCTGGTAAAGACTACGTACCACAATTAAAGACATTGATTGATAAACATGATGTAGAGACATTTGAGCGTTTATACAAGAATGTAATCCATGAGCTTGATATTTATGAACAAAATGAACTCTTATTCCGAACGTGCCGTTTAGGACCAGTTGAAATCTTTCAAATTTTATTTAAAATGCAGGAGATTAAGGACCTTAACAATGTTTTACACCCAACTACAAAATCCACCCTCTTACATTATGCAATTAAGTATGAGCAACATAAAATCATCGATTATCTTCTATCTTCAAACTCATCGTGTTATAACGTAAAAAATGTTTTCGGTGAAACTTGTTTGTCCGTTGCAATTGCTCTTCAAAATTTGGATGTGGTCAGACACCTTTTACATCATATCAGTGCTGAAGCAATTGATAAAGATTTGACCACTCACGCTATTTGCCACTGTATAAATGAAATTCGGATAACAGCAACACTGTCAGCTCACAAAGCGTTTGAAATTGTACAAGTTCTTGTCGCACATGCATCAAATAATTTATCCGATCAAGTTATTTCGAAAGCAGTGCATGAATTAGTCAAACGTCTGAGTTGGTTATATTCAATCATCCTAAGCGATAACCAATGGTTATACTTAAATGAGATAATTCGCTATTTTGTTGAAAAACTAAAATGTTCACTCAGTCATAAGGACAAAAACAATTGCACAACACTGATGCTAGCATGCCGCACATCTTCGGTGTCACTCGTTGAGTATTTGTTTGAAAAAGGATTACATTACAGTGTTAACGATCAAGATTCAAACGGTGAAACATGTCTGTTCTATGCTGTTGAAAGAAATAATAATATGGATATGATTGATCTCCTGATTGATAAGTACGAAGCATTAGTTGAACTTCGTAACGGGAAAAATTTAACAGCTCTACATAAGGCAATTCGTCTGAACAGTTTTCAAAATGTCAAACATTTGCTTACAAAATTAGATGATGTCCAAAAATATTTTTCGTATGCCTGCCAGTACTCATCTGTTGATATTACTCAGTTATTCTTACAACACCAACACCAACTACAAACCATCGAAAAAGAGAAAGCTCTAGACTGTGCGTTAAAAAATGAAAATAAAAACGATTCCTTGAGAATACTTGGTGTTTTAACAAACTCTGCCACAAATCTCGAGAAATGCTCGTATGGTGTTCATGAGTTAAAACGAGTACAAACCCAAGTGGGAATTATTGGTGCCGGTCCAGCAGGTCTTATGCTTGCTCATCTTCTCTTACTAAATGGAATTGATTCGATTATAATTGAACGCAACATTCAGTCGAATTTGGAAGGGCGAATTCGAGCCTGTGTTTTTGAACAAGACACACTGGACCTTCTCGATCGTATCCATTTCAAATCGATCAATGGTCGACGTTTACATCTTGAAGGTCTAATGTATCATGGAATTCGCATGCAGTTCAATGGCAAACGTTTTCGTTTGCCTTTATCAAAATTAACCAATGGGAAAGCAGTAACAGTTTACGGACAACACTTGCTAATAGAAGATTTGATAACGGATTTGAAACTGAAGGGTGTACAAATGTACTTTCAGGTCAAAAATGTCGAAATTGAACGTTTAGATAGTGAACGTCCAATGATTCGATTTCACCATTCCGAAACAGACTATGAAATGCATTGCGATTTCGTTGCTGGGTGCGACGGCTTTTACGGAGTGTCACGTGCATCAATTCCTCGTGAAATATTGACAGAATACGAACGAAAATATCCTTTTGGTTGGCTATGTGTTTCGGTCGCTGTTGAACCGTCTTGCGAAGAACTAATTTATTCTTATCACCAACACGGTTTTGCCTTGTACAACAAACGATCGAATGAGTTGAGTCGATTCTATTTGCAAGTTAGCACTGGAGATTCAATCGAAGACTGGTCCGATGAACGAATATGGGAACAGTTGCATCTTCGCTTGAATATGACAGATCCACATTGGACAATAAAACAAGGACAGATATTGGACAAAACCATATTTAGCGTAAGAACATTTATGGTGGAACCAATGCAGTATAAACAATTGTTCTTGGTCGGAGACGTGGCTCATATCATGCCACCGACAGGTGCAAAAGGAATGAATATGGCCATTGCTGATGCCAAAGTGTTATCGGATGCTCTTTCTGAATGGTACATGACAGACTCAAATGACCAAATTCAAAGCTATTCCGAAAAATGTTTACATCGGGTTTGGCTTGCACAGGAATTTGCCATGTCCATGTCGGAACTTCTCCACCGGAATTTTGATTTAGAAAGCAAGAACGATGGGTTCGATCAACAAATGATTCATGCTCGTCAACGGCATCTTGCTCAATCAGAACATGTTCAGAGAGCATTTGCTCATATGTATACCGGTACACCTTTTTGATTCTTGTTTTTAGATTATCCATAAGAAGGTTTCATGAGTGTATCCATTTTTTCATCACTAGTTTTAGCGTAATATAGATGTTCTATGTAAAAGCCCATGAGATTTCTACCTTTATATGGCTCTTACATAGACAGGCCTTCTTTCCTTCCCGTCCGTCTCTTCCATTGCAATTTCTTTATATTCTGGTTTTCTATGCAAAAAGTTAATTTCTCAGAAGGATGAGATGCATTAAGTAGAAAGTTGTAGTTAGTTGGATAACTAGCTGGTCTCTTTATTGAGTATTAGCGAAGTAATAGCTGTCTCCATTCTGCTACATAGAGGTCGTCTACAGCGGGAAGGTTTTCTTATTCTTATTTTTTTGCTAATGGCATTGTATGGTCATAAGGCATGAAGAATGCATAAACATAGCACAGAAACCAAGCTTGATTAAACAGATTTTAAAATAAATCTTTTCTGAACTAGCGGTGACAATAACAATAAAAGAAAAGGCAGTCTGATCAGAGAGAACATTTAAAATGATAAGAAACCGAAGTGCGAATTAATTGAGCGAGAAATATCAGAGTCACACCATGAATCTTGTTTGAGAATCTAACCACGAGTGTAGGAGAGACCGCATTATAATCTTAAAAAATGTCATATTGCAAGTCACAATAGCGGATCGTGGTGCGAATTTTATGACTTTTGCGTCATCCCGGTAAGTCAAATTGCCGCCCGCGATCATGCAAAATTCTTATTTTCAATAATAAGAATGTATCGTGATCTCGAAGCGACATCAAGATTTTGTAGCCAACGTGTCGTGATTTAGCGAATTCATCGCGATCTTGCCGCTACAGGTAGGATTTTACAGTGATCGCTAGAGCGACAGTGCGAGTACGTCTCGAAACAACCGCGAGAGTTGACTTGGGATGATATTCAACGCAAGAATGCTGAAAGCAGAGAGCTTTTTGGAATTAGCTGCACCCCCTCCCCTTCGCCGCCCGCTCCCACACCGGGCAACTTTGGCTAGGGCAGGTTACTAGCTTTCTAAAGATCGAATCTCTGGAAATCCTGTACAAAAATACTTTCAAAGTTTGAAAATCATGCCATTGGAAAGAGCGCATACGAAATGCTTTAAAAAAGTGCCTAGAGGCTTTTGTATCACATATATGGCATATATACGAACGAAACGAAATTTGCTGTGTTTATACGCAAAAACCGTCGTATTACACTGAAACATTGTTTGTCTGTAAATTAATAAACTTGTGCATCATTCGATACAGTTTTATGCGCAGTTTCCGAATATATCATTAATTTTCAACGAAAGTGCGTCTGGACGGATAAAAGTAAATTTTACTTCGAAAACTAACGGTTTTTGGAATCCCATATCTCATTTCAGGTACGTTCGCGCTAGTTGGCGCTAACACTGCAGGTGCATTATGAGTAGAAAAACATCATGCCATAATGTCATCTAATTTGAAGCGTAGCTGAAGTTAGTGCACTTATTATACTGAGCACACCTTATGGGAAAACACTTAGTGAAGAAAGAAATATTGTTTTTCCTAACACCAAAAGGCTCGAATCAAATCTTTCATTACAAATCGATAGATCGAAACGTCTAGTTTAAGATTATGTGAAACTTTTCAGAAATGGTTTTCAGATTCCATCATAATGTTTGTTATCTCTTCGCAGCCAGTTTTCTCGGCTAAATTTGCACAATGCATTCTCCGACTAACTAAGGCATTTGAACTGTGGCTTCAACTATGGCCACCTCTTAACTGGTAATGGATCTGATAATATTTTCTGTTCGCACCGTAGATTCTAAATACTTTTATATCATTTTCTATCAATACTAATTTATTTTTAAAATCTTTTATTTTCTTACATAGTTTCAAATCATTATCTAATTTATTCCACTCAAGTATAAAACGAGGCAAGAAAGACATTTCGAAACTGTTTGAACCTGTGAGTGTATTTAGAGAACAGAAACTTCAAAACATCTCAGAAAATTTTCTTAAGAAGTCATATTTGTAGCGCGCAAAATTCTAATCAAAATCAGACATTCCCCAGCTCTACACGGCCTTTCTTTATAAAATTATAGAATTTCTTGAAATATTCAACGCAATAGCACGTGATGGTGCAATTTTGGCAAGTGTTAATCCACGTCTTTTAAGTAATGAACTTGAACAAGTTCTAAATTTATCAAGTGTAAAAGTGATAATTGCAGTAAATTGAAGTTTACGCCTTATCAAGCAATTTCGGACACTTCTAATACGGATATTTGTGATCAGTGTGATCGATTATATATTACCAGATGGGTTTGGCAAAGATTAAAAATGAAAAGGTCGCCAGAAATCCTGGAGGGGACCTCAGGCTTCAAGAACTTGACAGCGAGATTTGAATGAAAGGAATAGAATGAATTTTCGAAAGTTACTGAATAGAGCCTAGACAGCTGAAAGTAAGTTATTTCTCTGAAATCCACATGTTTTCTTGTCCACAGGTAATGTGCGTCCGCGATTCACATGTAGTCAAAGTGCATCCATGCATGTAAGTATGGAGAATCCACACATGAATGATCAAGACTGAATAGGTGAACTAGATTCGTACGTGCACTTTTGCTTGTAATAGATATAATAACAAGTAAAAAACGATAATAAGCTGTTTCGTGCACCAGAAAGCTGCTGTTAACAACCACTAAACACTGTTTGTCATTGTGAGATATTTTTGCTGTCTGATTTAAGCACGGTATGATGAGCAGACGTAATTTTAATATTCGTTTGTTGTATTTTCTCTAAGTTCATAACGAAAAGCACCAATTGCATGGATACATATGACAATGAAACTATTAGAAACAAGCATACCAGTAATAAACGTTTAGTGACTATATCACCTGGTGAAGGCACACTATCAACCAGTGTATTTCGTCAATGTAAGTATCTATTTCATAAATAACTGTAGATAGAAATATAATAAGTTATGCACATCTCTTAAATCTAGAGCCCTGCTGGATTGAGTTTTTTCACCCGAACCCGATCTCACCCCGTAAAGTAAAACCGCATTCCGATCCAGAAAAATCATTTCTCCAATCCCTATCCAAATCCCGTCCCGTGCTCTTAAATACGATCCCGTTGAATCCCGAAAATTTTTTCCACTAAAATACAGGCTTGCCAAAAATGGCCGCTAATGATAATATTTTTATCTTTTCTTTACCAATGGCTACGTACTCGATTAGACGTAAGACGCCGCCAGTTCAAAGTTGGAACACTATTTTATTTTTGGTTTTCTTATACATCATTCAATAGAGAATTTCACGCTGATCACGAATACCGTGTTTTTATGGGGTAAATTTCGAAATACTCTGAGTGTCTCAAAATCGGGAATAACCTTCGCGTTTCGAAAAAGTTGAATATTTTTTCTGCTTTCTTTTTTGAAGCTTCCAAACATTTCTTTTAGGATTCAGCATTGAAAACTGAGTTAGGAAATGGCCTTTCGAAGGTTTTTATATATAATGTCATTGCACGAAAAATTTGTATACAAGCATAGTTCCAAAGCGAAGGTCTTGCCGCAAAAAGCTATCTAGTTTTTTGTGCTAAGAGGTGGAGCCCTGATTCTTACGCCATTCGATCGGCCTTCATTTGTACTACTAAAGCATGCATCGCTTTTGTCTAAAATTTGTTTCATTCCTTAGAAAGTACATTGTTCGAAAAAATCGGAATTCTTCCGTTAGTCCTCTATTGTCTCTATCAGAACTCACTTTTTATGCAATAAAAATATCAAATTTCGAATTAGCGTCGAAAACCGAGCCGAATGATATATGTTTCGAAACCTTTCGTTGACTTTGATTTTTGGTGAAAATCTCAGTAATTTTTCGACGTGAAAATTCAAACAATCGTGGTCAGATAGGATAAAAAGGTATATCATTCGGCTCAGTTTTTGACGGCTTCGGTTTTCTTTCTGGCTTATATTTAGAGCGAAACTCCCGATCCCGTTCAGCAGCTTAAATCCCAATTCCCCAGGAGTCCAGTAGTCCGCTATTTCCCCCTTGACTTCCAGTCGAATATACCCGATAGAATCGACTCGAAAACAAGCAACGATTTAGCACCAACAGTATAACTGTAAAATCAAAATTTCTCTATAACCATCTAACATTAAGCCTAGTGCAATATATCATTCGATGCGCCGTGAAAAGCTCTACAAGATGTGTTAATGGGAAGGTTAACGAAGGCTAGCA